GAATACGAATGCTGTGCTATTAACAACCTGAACAAACCTCCATTTTGTAAGAGTATCTTGGTAACCGTCCAGTGTGAGTCTAACTGCTTTTTTTAAGCTAAAATGAAGGGGTGAGGGAAGCTGCAAGGTTTGTACCAATCAATATGATCACAATGAAGATCATTGAAACAGTGCAAGCTGAAAATATATAATTCACTCTCTTCACAGATGAGCCACAAATAGATGTATTTCAGTCAAATGACACAGTTTCTTCATATAATGATGGTAAAATCAGGGTATACTGTTTGGCCCATGGCGTGCCCTATCCTCAGTTCACGTGGTATGATCCCCATAATCAATCAATATCTACAGGATCTCATACTGTTACTGCATGGTGTTGGTGTCTTGGAACTAGTAACCATTGACGCAGACAGCTATGGATTGTACAAATGTAAAGCAGAAAATTTACTTGGTTATGATGAACACATTATCAATGTCACCCAAACAGGTTTGAAACATCATTAACCCTATGGTTCTTATGTTTCTTTTTCATTCAAAACCACAATCATCATAAAGTTGTTAAAGAGTTTTGTAGATTTCATTGTGCAAATTACTTAAGGAGCACTCATGGGTTAGCTGATATAAAGTTCTGGAGTTCCGGCCGCGAAATTATAAATTTCTTGTACAAATATTACTTATGATTTATTCTTTTATTTTATGTCCTTCATTTATCAGTCTACTGCATTTGCGTTCGGTCAATCTTTCAAAAGGATTCTGAAATTGTGTACTATACATTTAGTGTGCATGCACATGAGAAAGCAAAACAAAAAAATGTGAATTGGTATCTTCCAGCTCTTCCTACTTCTACGGTACCATCGGAAAATAAACGCCATGCAAAAGGCTCAATATCAAGAGCTAACCGAGGTAATCTAAGCAACATAACAAACAAACACCTAAGAAAAACGGGTTCAAAGCTAAAAATTTGCTTGGTTATGATGAACACATTATTAGTGTTATTCAAACAGGTTTGAAAAACAATGATATATTATTAACATTAGACGGTTAAAGAAAAATAGATGGATAGATAGATGGATGGTTGGATGGATTGATGGATGGATGCATGGATGTATGGATGCATGTTTGGAATGATTTAGTCATAAACAATTAATGCCATCTATCCTCAGTCCATCCACCCTCTCTGATGCCAAGTAG